TTTTTTTTTTTTTTTTTTTTTTTTTTTGTACCAGGGTCTTTGCGCTTGCAAGGAGACACTGGAACCACCTCTGAGCTAAATCCCTGGACTGATTGCTAATAATTTTTAATATCTCCTTTAGCTGCAAATATGTTTAGGCTAAGGAGCCCACCATTAAGTAGAAGTCACCTTGGCCTGGAGGACAATTGGAGAATCAGTTAGCAAGACAAAGAACCCAGCAACCCACTGCCCCCAGCCCGGGTCCTGTAGTCATGGTTGCTTCTGTTCACATATCCACTCACCAAATTTTTACAGAGCACCTACTATATACCTACAACTCTAAATGCTAGGAATGTAGGGAAGAACAATCCAGTTCTCATAAAGCTTATATCTTAGAAGGAGATAGATGATAAACAAGGAAACAGGATAATTTCTGATGATGATAAGTGCTGTGAAGAAAATAGAGCAGCGTTATGAGATCAGATGTTACTGTGGGAATGGGAGAGCAACTCTAATTCAGAAGGCCAGGAAGGCCTTTCTGGGGATGCAGTATTTGATGTGATGATCAAGAGTCTGTTGGACGGAGGATCAAGGAATAGGTGGCAGGACATGTAGAGTCCTAGAGGTGGGAAAGGGATTGGCATATTTGAGAAACAGAAAGGACAGGGATGATGGAAAATAAAGGATGAAGGGCAAGTACAAAGAGATAAGGGAGGTAAGGACCAGGTTACAGGCAGTCTTACAGGCTATAGTGGAGCATTTGGATTTTATTCCAATGTCAGTAGGAAAGTACTGACTGGATTCAAGCATGATCTATATGATTTGAGTTTCTTGAAGTCCCCATAGGGCTGATGCCAAATAATAGTAATAATAATAGTTCCAACTATCCAACATTTACACATGGTGGACCAGACACCGTTCTCACCATTCTCTTAATGCTCACAACCAACCAACACTCCAGGTTCCATTTCATCCCCACAGTTACTGTCCTTTAAAGATAAGGATAAACACATGGCAGCCAAGGTCACTTGTCAGGGTCAGGACCAGAATTAGAATCCAGGTACTCTAGGCACTGTAGGTCCAAAGGGAAGTGAGCTGGAAGAATCACTGAGTACCTGTGAAGTTCTGAGTAACAAGGACATCCAGGTACTGTGAGGAAGAGACCAGTTTGTTGGGCACTGACTGCTAGAAAAAGGAAAGAGTGAGCTAGAAGATTGGGACCTAGGTGGGAGTCCTTCCTGCTCCCCAAGTATGGCCAGGGTAAACCTTGTGGGACTTGCTAAGTGAGGCTGCTGCCTTCCTAGGGTCTCAGCCACCTATTCAGCCTGGATTTTCTTCAGGGGCACCCAGAGCCTAGAACTCTTCATGAATATATTTGAATCATCTTAAACTCCTGTTTGTGAGAGGGCAGAAATGAGGGTAAAGATATATGGGAAAGCTTCCTCCTGCCCTCAGTAAAGATACCTGTCCTACTTTCATGAAAGTTAGAGGGAAGTCAAGGTAAAGAGAAAAAAGCATGGAAGAAGAATAGCATAATGATTCAGAGCTAAAATGTTCCCCCAAAATATCATCTGTTCAGAGGTGAAACTCTAGGAAGGTGACTGGATCTTAAGGGCTCTGTCTTCAGCAGTGGAGTAATCTACAGATGAGATCATAATTTGATGGAATTATTGGGAAATGATGCAAACTTAGGAGGTGGGGCCTACATGAAGGGAGTGGGTCATGGGGGTGGGAGCTAAAAGACTATATCTTGTTCCTGGCCCTTTCCTCTCTGACTATCTCGACTTCCTGACTGCCATGAGGTGTACAGCTTTCCTCTACCATGTCCTTCTGCCACGATGTTTTTATCTTGGAGCCATCAACCATGGACTGAAACGTTTGAATCCGTGAGCTAAAATAAACCTTTCCGCCTTTAAGTTGTTTTTCCCAGTTATTTTGTCATACTAATAGAAATATGATTAGCCCAAGTAGTGTGCTAGACATTATCCATATATTTACACCTCACCAAAGTCACTGCTACAGATGAAAAACCGAGATGTTCTATAACTTTACCAAGGCCACACAGCTAATAAACCAAGATTCACTCCCAAGATTGGCTCTATTCCATGCCTGGGAATTCCAGAAGCAGTCTTTGTTTTTCTGCTTGTTTTGACTCCACTGTTCCTCACCTACATTCCCATCTCCTGAGTGGCCATTTTGCCTGGTCTGAGCAGCTTCCCGCCTGCTTTGCCTTTTCTGTTCTCCATCTATTTCTCTGTGCCACAGCACTCATCTCTGGAGACAGCCTGCCCACCTACACCTTGGACCCTCATTTGCCTTGGCAGACCCCAGGCAGAGGTCATACCCAGTCACTGCCTAGCAGCTGCATGTCTATGTGCCAGGCAGCTAGGCTTCGCAGGCCTGGGATTTAAAGGAGGATGGAAAGTCTTCCCTAGCAACTACCTCTAACTAGACTGCCGCTGGGATGGAGTGGTCGCCCTTCAGATATTTCTGGAAATTTCAAACTTCCTTCACATTCTAATAAGAAATAAGTCTGTTTAAGATTTCCTGGCCAGGCCAGGTGTGGTGGCACATTCCTGTGACCCCAGCACTCCGGAGGCTGAGGCAAGAGGATCACCTCGAGTTTGAGACCAGCCTGAGTTACATAAGGAGTCCAAGGCCAGCCTGAACTACATAGCAAAACCCTGTCTCAAAAAAGAAAAGAAAAATTTCCAGGTCCACGTCTGCATCCACACTCCGTGGCTGAGGGCCAAGCCCAAAGCCAACATTCATCCCCACGTTCACCCCAGAGTCTCTCCCTAACCCACTCTCCTACCAGAGGGGTAGAAAAGGTCTGAGGCAGGCAAGCTCCCCACATACATTTCTAGAAAATGGCTGGATGTGTGATAAGTGGAACATGGGCTGTGTGGCACATAGTTCCCACCTCAGGTCCACAAAGGGCCTAAATTGACCTCTGACGAATGAGGTTATATACTATTTTATGAGTTTGAAGTGTCAATTTGTAAAACATACATACTGAAAATATGCTGCAGCTTTTCAACTCCATTTTGCATCTTGCTTTTTTAGATACCAAGAACCTTAAAAATGTAAAAAGTTTCCCGCAATCCTCCGAAAGGCTGTGAGGTATGCCCCCAAAAGAAAGATCCATGGAAGAGGGTGGCTGGAGAGAGGAGGACAGGACAGGTGTAGAAAGCTAAGAGCCCAGCCCTGGGGCTGAACTCGTGGGGATTAGATCCTAGCCGCTCTGAAAGAGTTCTGCTGTTTTGTGCGGTGGTTCTCAATCTTTGCAGCAGCAAGATCTAGCCAGGCTGAAGACAGGACAGGCCCAGACTGGCACAGCAGGCTAAAAGGCCGTCCAACCAGCTCTCCTGCAGATCTGGAACCAGACGCTCAGGCTTCGTGCTCTCTCTCAGGGCCAGAATCCGTACCCAGCACCAAACTTCCAGCCTGTGTCCCACAAGAACGGCCGGGTAGCCCTGCCACCCCTGCAGAGGCAGCACCAAGGAGCTCTGCAGAGGACCTCAGCAAGGCGGAAGGAGTGCGCTCCCTCCCAGGCGAAAGACAGACGTGGGGCTAATGAAAGGGAGGCCGAGAGCTGCACTGGGCGGACGGGGGTGAGCGGGGGCGTGGCAGGGAGAGGACGCTCCCCGGAGGGAGCCGACCAGACCCTCCCGAAGTGTGCCGGGAAATCCCGGGGAAGCAGGCGCAGGAGAGGACCGGGTGAGCTGAGCAGCTAGGCCCGAGGGTCCCGGGCTGAAACTCAACACCGCCTTTGGAATGATCGTCCCCTTTTTCTCCTCCGCCCCCCTCCCTTCCTCTCCCTTTTCCCCTCCCTCCTTTCTCTAAATTCCCTGCACTGAGTCCCACGCCCGGGAGGGGAGGAGAAAGGACTGGCCGGAGAGGGAGCCCGGATCCGGGGGGGAAAAGGGGAGGGAAGGGGAACCGCGCGCGACCCCCGGAGCCTCCTCAGCCTTCTGTGTCCCCCCCCCCGCAACCCCAAGCCTAGGCGAGCTCAAGGGACTCTAGCCCCAGCTCCTCCTGCGCCTTCTCTTTGCTCCTCTGTCGCTTTGTGGCCTTTCTCTTCGTCCCCAAAGACACTTGGGAGCTGCCCGACCTCTGGGGCGTGCTGCGGGAGGGGCCCCGCCGAGGGCGCGTGTGTGTG